CATCACCAGCATCCCCTTCCTGCCAAAACACGAGGGTGCCCGTGTGCCGCTCGCTGGGATGCAGTAGCATCTGGGTGTCAATGATAGCCAAGGTTTTGGGAGCTGGGGTGGTTTTTGGGGGGTCAGGGTGAGATCCCACCCAGCTCTTTCCATCCAGAGGTGTCCTGAGCTGGCAGTGCCGTGCAAGCCCCATGGGAAGCCTGGGAGGGGGGTGCTGAGCCCCCCCCCCCCAACATAGGCTGTTTTAGGCGGCTCCTGCACAAACCCAAGCCCGGCTCGGTGGAGAGCAGCCTCAACGCTGGCTGCTCTGCTTCATCCTCCCCTTCTTCCTCCTCATCCTCTGCTGAGAGTTCTACCTCCTCTCCTGGCATGAGCCTGGCCAGGTCTGTCCGCCCGTCACCCGTGTCGGTGTCAGACATCAACGCCTCGGGCAGCGCCCGGTGGGCCAAGAGCTACGATGTCTGCATCTGCCACAGCGAGGTGGACCTGGAACTGGTGGAGGAGCTGGTGTCCTACTTGGAGGGTCAACCTGAAAGCTTCCGTTGCTTCCTGCAGCTACGGGATGCGGTGGCGGGAAGGGCAGTGGTGACAGAACTGTGTGATGCCGTGCAAAACAGTCACTGCTGGGTCATGCTCATCACCCCCGACTTCCTCCAGGATCCTTGGTGCAAGTACCAGATGCACCAGGCACTGGCCGAAGCTCCGATGGCCAACGGGCGCACCATTCCGGTGCTGAAGGATGTGGATCGGAAGGATTATCCCAAGGAGCTGCGAAACCTCTACTACATCTACATGGCACTGAAGGAGAACAGTTTCCGGCAGATCCGAGACACCGTCATGCGCTGTGAGTACGCCGTAGGATGCTCCTGAAACATCGCTCTGGTGGGGTAGAGACCGCAGGAAGGGATGGGATTTAATTAAATAGTTAATTTTGGTTGCTAATGGGGCTCATCTTCTGCCTCTGCAGACCTCCAGGAACTGTGTAGGAGCTCCACAAGCAGGACGGAGTAGTGCCAGAAGCAGGCAGAGGTGTCCCCATGGGCATTTTGGTGCTGTCACCGCCAGATCCGGATGCGGCCCTGTCCTGACAGACCTCGGGGGCGAAGCCGAGCTGCTCGGAGCAAACCCCAGAACCAAAGATGGGGAAGTCCCCACACACGTGGCAGGGGGAACAGCGGTGTGGAGCCTACCGCGTCCTGGTGATGCCACCACCGTCCTGGTGACCAAAATGTCCTCCAGCAGGTCCCTGCTCCACATCAGGCAAACACTAAGCTCTGATGTTGGGTGGGTCTGAGGGTCTTCAAAGCTGCTTATGGTGGTGTCCCCCCCCGGCCGAGGACTGGTCCTGGGGGGCTCAGACCAGCCCCACGGACCCCCAATAAGCTGACACAGCGCCTGGCCTGCGGTGCTGGGCTGCGGTCAGGAAGAGGAGGGGCAGGTGCTGGTGATGTCTTTGCACGAATTTGGAACTATGAGAATGCAGAAGTTTTTAAATCTTGTGGTTTGGTTGGTTTTGGTTTTTT